CAATATGACTCAACCCGGGCGAGAAATAGAGAATAGCGCGATAAAACCGAGAGCTACTGTACAATTGCATGCGTCACGCATGCACCGATAACGTTCGACGAACAGAGAGGTAAATTATTTCGAATACATACCTATACATATACATATATATGTATACTTTTGTCCTATTATTACGGATTCCGCTCTGCGTTTCCGTAAAGTCTTTCTTTCGAACGATGTGTGAAGCGCTAGTGTAATAATTGATACTATTTAGTAATAATTAGCGTTGACTGCGAGAGAGAAATATTAGCGAATATAATAAAAAGCGACTCTAACATAACCGAGCATTGTAGTACACACTATAACAAATGATGGGAAATTTCCCATGGTCCACATGAAAGGGTTGATATTATCTTCTATTGTGCGCGGAAACTCGGATGCGTTCGAAATAGGAAACTCGCGACCGAGATTATTTATTATTATATTAAGTCAATCGTAATATATATATGTATAATAAATTACATATATGTGAAAATAATATAATATTAAAAACCAAAAACATTAGTTCGCGGAAAACAAAAATTAACTATAGCTCAACTGTCTCTATATTACACATGAAATTTAATTATCATATCTAAATTATAGCTATATAGAATTCTTCGCGTTAAACTATAGCTAAAAATATTAGTTACGATAGCTAAAATTTAGGTATATGTGATAACTAATATTTTAGCTATAGTTTAACGTAGAATTTTATAGTTAAAAAATATTAATTAAAATGTAGGCATGAACTAGATTTCACGTTGTAATATAAATGTAGGGACAGCTAAAATTTAACTATGGTGACTAATTTTTTGTCATGTTTAAATGTTATTTCCAAAGCGGTACACTAAAAAAATATTGTTAACTTGATTAAACTTTTTAACTAAACTATTATTTTGTTGATTGAACCTATACAATAGTATTGAAGTCAAATATACGTTTTATTAGATTTAATGTTATATTTAATTTAAATATTTTTATATGTTCACTTAACAAAATAATATTTAGTTGAAAGATTTAGTCAAGTTAACAAATTTTTTTCCAGTATAGACATAAACATGCGATACGCCATCGCTGGTCAGTATTTGTTGCAAGTTTTTTCCAGTTTCTTCTTTATCGAAATCAATGACGATAGTAACGAGCTCATCATTGTTATGAATAGAAGCAACGCGGTCCAAAGCAAAAGGCAGAGATTACAAATTCCCAAAACTACGTAACATCGCGATAGCGAAGCGATAATGACGAGCCAATCATTGTCGAGCGATGCGAAACTATGCGGTCGAAGTGATAGAATTATTGTAGAGCAGATAAAACTTGTATATATTTCAATGACATTTATCACGTCGCCTCAAGGACGCGAGACAATTAGGCGCATACATTATCACAATGTGTGAGATGAAAAAGCTAATAAAAATTCATCTATTATTTCGCTTCGGTTTTAAATATATATGCAAATTTTATACGCTTATTTTTTTTTAAACATATTATTATTAGAACACCGAAGGTTAAATTACACAATCGGAATCTATATAATGCGTGACTGGATAGCAGCCTTTAAATACACACGATAAACATCTTTACCATCTAATTTCTTTTTACAAATAGCTCGTAACTACTGCAACGTCTGATTAAAGAGATCTAAATTGCATATAGGTATATGAAAGAGATACTAGCGGTACAGAATAATGATACATAATAAACACATTGTTATCAATTCCAATCAGCACTACTGTTTTACGCACAAACCTTGTTTTGCTTATTATTATTATTATTATTAAATAAGCATCGCATAATCTCGTTTCGTTGATTTTTCGAATTCGACGTATTTCGTTGTGACAAAAAATGTAAATAGAAAAAATGGCAGGAATTAAAATATTTTGTATTCGTAAGCTAATCTATGCAAAAAACATTCACCGAATCTACTTAAGTCCGCGTAATATATAAAAACATTGCGTGATCTCATTTCTTTAACTTTTCGAATTCGACGTATTTCATTGTGATAAAATGTAAATAGAAAAATATGGCAGGAATTAAAATATTTCGTTTAAATTTAATCTATACAAAATCGATATTCACCGAATCTATGTCCACGTAATACTTATATAAAAATCATCTCGTTTCTTTAATTTTTCGAATTCGACGTACTTCGTTGTGATAAAATGTAAATAGGAAAAAATGACAGAAATTAAAATATTTCGTTTAAAACCAATCTACACTGTAAAAAAAAATAGTAAAATTACCAAATATAAAAAATTTGTAAACATGTAATTTTACATTTAATTATATATGTATTTTTATGTAATATATTACATATTTTTTTACAATGCATGCAAAAAACATTCAACCGAATCTACATCGACGTAATATATAAAAATATGTAAAATATTACATAAAAATATGTAAAATCACACTTATATTATTTATCTAACTTTACATATTTTTTTTGACAGTGTATAAACCCGATCCTTGTCGAACTAAGCATCTACGAGAGAGACGTGGGAGAGAAGAACGAAGGGCCGGGAGGAGCAGGGAAGAGAACGGGGAAGTTGATAGCGTGCCAGCTGTGCGCAGGAACGGAGGTTAGGTTAGGAATGGCGTTTGGGGGTCGCGGGGTCAACTTCGCGGGATCGAAACGACCCCGATGCGCGATCGCGCCGCAACGACGCGCGTGCAGAGAGACGAGGAGGACAAAAAGAAAGAAAAAAAAAAAAAACAAACAGGAGGCTACTCACCTCGTTGAAGGCCATCTTCTTCGCTATGCTTCCGGATTCGCGGCTGCTTCCGGCGCCTCCCTGCCCCACCGCTCCAACAGAAGGATATCCGCGCAGGAAGCTGCCGGGCTAGTAGTCCCAGCAGCAATAACAGCAGCAGTAGCAGCTGATCTCGCCAGATGTCCAGAGGGGTTGTTGGTCCTCCAACGGAGGGCGACAGCGCATCGAGGAACTCGCCAACTGCACTCGCGATGACGCGACGTCGACGGGAACGCGACCGACAACGACGACAACGACGAAAACACTCGCGACGACCGACCACCCGTCTGGCAGACGACCTCCGCGAAACACATACGTCACGGGGAAATAGCGGAACCGCGATCACCTTCTCCGGAGGAAATCCCCCGCGAGAGCACACTCCGCCTTGTGTCGCGAGATTATTTCTTCTTCTTTTTTTTTTCTTTTTCTTTTTTTCACGACTCGCTGCCGATCCGTCGACCTGCTGCCGGGGGAAGTCGCGACCGATCTGGCATTCCTCAGGTGGGCACCGTTTTTCACAGGGGAGCCGCCTCCGGAGTCGCGACGAATTATTAAGAATTCAGCCGCCTTCAGGGCCTTTCGGCGCGCCGCTTACGCTGCTGACGACGATCGGGGATCGCGACGACGACGACGATGACGACGAGGAGGACGACGACGAGGACGACGGGAGACGAGGAACGCGCGACGTCACGTAGAAGCGGACACGCGCGTATATCACGACCGATCGTCGCCTACCAGCTCGATCGTCCCGTAACCGTTTCTCGCGCGGCACTGTTTTCTCTCTCTTTTTTTCCTCTTCTCGCGTATTTATATCCGCCGCAGAGGTATCCGCAAACAGACGGGCGCCATCTTGCTTTCTGTAGCGCGGAGCGCCAGCGGAACGGACCGGAATGGCGCGACGCGACAGCTGGCGCGAAACGCCGGCTCGACGGTGCTGCCGCCGCCTGAATCGCCGGAACGACCCGAAACCGGACCGGCCGGAATATGTATATCCGCGCGCGCGATATATTTCTAACTTCAGATCGCTCCGATTATTTTTATCCTTTCACGCGCGATTCTCATTTCCGTCCGTGACAATTCGTGTATGCGATTATTATTCTACCTGTAAAGACAGACAGAGAAGAAAATTGACAAGTTTATATATACGATAAAATCCTGCTGCGATTGATATTATTATATATTATATTATATTATGAGCATCTTTTGCTTTGCGTAGAATTTTAATAGGTTAATTGATTGACTTTTTTCTCGATGAATTTTAATACTTACTGCGTTCTCTTGTGCAACCTATTGGTTCAATGTCGAATTAATGTCAAATGGAATCGTAAAATGCGCACATATATGCAGACACCGTCATATTATTGTCAAAATATTGCGTTATACTTAGAGCCAATTTTACCAAGTCCGATTAGATGAACCGACGCGATTGCAATTGACAGGGCAGCCAAAATCAAGTATTTACATTTCTGATTCATGGATACTTTTTCGTGTTGGCATGACTGAATCATAAATAGCCTTCTTTTACATATTAATATATTAATTTATTAATTGATTGATAATATTGTAATGCATTCTTCGTATTTATTATATATGTATATATATATATATTCTCTCATGTAATTTAATATTCAAATTTCAAACAAACAATATATGAAAATTGTGTTGTAGTAAAATTTGATGTTATTCACGCTTTACAAAGAATTGTGTCAATTGATTAACGTTTCATAATTCATAATTAATATATATTTTGACACTTTTATTATCTTTTTCATGCGCTTGACATTTTACATATTTTAACAAATTAAATTCTGTGTTGTTATCAACGAATTAATCTTCATGTAATATAAATATTTCACCGCATTAAAGCATTGCCTATCATGGATCAATTGCACAGAATTGCATCGATTATTCTTACAACAATATATAACAATAAAGAGGAAAAATATTTTTCTTAAAAGGGGGCTTTTATTTACAATATAGAAAAATGAAATATAATAAATAAATTATATATATTATTAAATAAGTATACCTATTCCACTGATTTCTTTCGACAAAAGCGCATCAACGCACGTTTGTGAGACTAGCAGCTCCACTAAATTCAAACACGCATGAGTCGTGTTCGTAAATTCACTTATCGTATAGTGCAGCGTTTGACCGACCAATCAGAAGAGAGGAACTTACACTCTTTACGTCCTGATTTTCGAACGCGATCGTTCGCCATATTGAAAAATATTTAAAGATGGCCGTCAGTTCGTATAGGAGGTTCCTGGGTGCAGGGTGAAAGTGGAAGTCAAGTGAATGCTTTATCGCGTCGTAGTTACATCCGCAGCGAAATATCGAGTGAACTCTCGCCCGAGCGACAGCTTCTTGCGTTTTCTCCGAATTGTACTGAACTCGAGGAGAAGACGGACCATCTCAGGAAAATGGGCCGGTCGCGTTCCAGATCGAAATCGCCGAATAGGCGGCGTCACAAAAGCAAGCACTCTCGCAAACGGTCCAAATCGCGTGAGAAACACTCCAACAACAAATATTCAGACAAGCCGAAAGAACGTAGTTCCAAATCCAGGTATCTTGTTTTTGACAGTTCATCTGACACTTCAGCATTTCGTGAAAGAAGCTTTTGGAATTAAGATTTTTCTCGGCCATTTTGTTATGATCCGAAAACGTTTACGATAACATACATACACTCACGAATTATTATGTATCTTATGTATCTTGTATTATTATGTGTCTTATTATGCATAAACTTGTCGATTTTATATGTAAATTGCGCTTTATCCGGATTTTAATGCAACTATGGATGATTTTAACAGATTATATATGAACACATGTTAGAAATAACACTAATTAATATTGTGGCTGCTTTTTTAGAAAACGATCCCATTCTGCATCATCCAGCAGTGGTTCGGAAGTATCAGACGATGTGCACATTGTTAGTCACAAGAAACGTTCGTACAGGGACAGAGATCGAAAAATGGATGAAGTGGAGAGACTAGCAGAAATGGAGCGGCAAAGGTAAACAGTAGTAGTAATTATGTTGATAATGTTCCTCTTGATAGCTCATGCATTAAGGTTGGAAAATACATAGGTCATTTTCCAATCTTATTCTTTTATATTTTGTTAATTATCAAGAGTTGAACATTAATTTATGATTATTTTATATCCAAAGAATTTTTGTTATACGTTATTTTTTATAATTGTGTTGTCAGGAAAAAGAAAGAATTAATGAACAAAATCTTCACTACGAGCTCAGCTGGGTAAGAATGTGTAATTATTTCATGGTGGTGGTTTTTATAAATTTAAAACTCATTTTTGCCGAAAACATGCTTGACGTGTTGTATGCAAGTATCAAATCTTTTAATAACATCTTGTTTAGTACTGTTACAACAAATTTTTAATGGTTGATTTAAATATAATTATATTGATAGATTTCATAATTTACCGCACTTGAAATTTAATGAAGATTTAGCATGTTGTTAACTTCACTTTTATACAAAAAAAAAAAGAAAGAAACGGTTCTGGAATGGTGCTCTGGAAGAAGATTGCTGCTTATCTGTCTGCAGACGTCAGCGCGAAGTGGAACAAAAGATGGTAGAAGAGGAAGCAGCCAAACGTATTGAGGAACTTGTACAAAAAAGGGTGGAAGAGGAGCTTGAAAAACGTAAAGAGGAAATTGAAGCAGAGGTGCAAAGGCGGGTGGAAGAAGCGAAGAGGGCTATGGAGCGTCAAGTGATGGAGGAGATGGAATGGAGGCAAGCGAAACTACGTGAGGAGGAGAAACGAAGAGAGGTAAGATCTATCAATAGAAATATTGGTCAGTGATAGCCCAAGCGCTGTTATGATCAGTAGAAAATAAATCTAGCATTCTTTTAGTGCAATTATTTCAAAAAGTCGGAACATGTATAGAATATATTTTCGCGAAAAATATAACGTTAATATTATTTATAACAGAGATAAATTTTAAGTGATTATCACACAATGTATCGCAACATTTACAGAATACAGAATCTGTATCAAGTGAGAGTAGAAAATATCCAAAAGATATATTGAGGCTTTGCTATTAGTTGTTAAGCTGGGCTAAGTGCAATTTGTAAATCTTTTGTATATTTTGATCTTGATGTTATAAAACTACAGGATTTACAAATTGTGTTATTTTCGTTTAAGAAATCTTACGATCAAAGTCGCGAGCAGTTCTATTATAGTTCTACATTTTACGATCACAGCGTTTGGGCTTGAAGCATTGCGGTTCGTGATTATATTGTAAGAAATTAAACGAGAAAAACCACACTGCTTCGACTTCTCAGCATCCACTGAGGTCGCGTTATTGAGAAGTTGTATTTTATATTATGAAAGAGATTCTCTGCTATTATAGGCGCATGTATCGATTATTTATGATCAAATTATTTCTACCATATGTACATATATTTATATATCTGTACAACATTATAACCTTTTTCATCACACGATATATGGATTGACGTTTGTGTCAACAATTCTAGAAATTATGCTTAGACTGCTTTGATTCGTTTGAATCACAGTCCTGATTTCACAATCTCTATAATTGTTGTGCATGTTGGCAAGTCTGCTTATCAATCTTCTTATATACTTATCAATCTAATTTTTAAAATTATCCGCGAGTATTCACTTTATCGCATCTTGCAATCTTTAAGAAAAAAGTGGAAAAGAGAAAATATTATATCTATTTGAAAAAAAAGTCCCAAACTTTGTAACTTATTAATCAAGAAAAGTTTATTATTCTTGAGTCTGAAATAAAGTTATTTTTATATGAAATTATAGAAAAATAATATTCTTCCCTGAACAGTTGTTACTGTCAGATGAGTCAGCGTAGTGATAATATTATATTGATAGCATAAAATGTATATATATACGTCCAAAAGACACTGCAGATAAAAGAATAACTTATCAATTAATAATATAAATAAAACTTTGTTAGAACTTTCTTGACTTAACTATTTTTATATGATTAGATAATACACACAGATATATTTATAGAAATGTATAAAGATATCTCTTTATATATGTATATATATATATATATATATATATATATTTATATATATATTTATAACTTGATTTATATCGTTATTTTATATCAGTTTACGCGTGCGTTGCGCGAGAAAATATATTTTCAATACTATTTTAATATAAATTTCTCTTTTTCTCTCGAACACATACGTATATAAGTATTACTTTTCAAATTCAAGAGATTTACGATGTAATTCTTATGATATTATTTCATTCTTCAATTTTAATTCTTGCTCAACGAGGTTGTCACATATGCAGAAATATATGAATATGAATTAATATGATAAAGAATCCTGTTATTTAATTTGCGCGGCAGATTCTAACTGCGCGGGAAATAAAAAACCGGAAATTTTTTTTCATTTTATTTTGTTGATTAAAATTATATACTTACTATCACATTTCTTGTGTCTATGGACAATTATTTACTTTTATATTCTTGAGACATCAAGCTCGTTTGTTGATTGGATTGGACAATAATCTGATTACAAGTTTATCAGAAGTTTTACTCTCATTGCTTTTGCACATTGAGTTTACGTGATGATCTCAACAAGTTTGGGAGAAAGTTTATTAGAAAGGGAAAAGTTAGAGACTTTAAGGGGGCAGAGAATTAGAATCCCATAGCGAGACAAAGCACGACCTAGCGATATATAGGTCATCCTTACTGACTACCAACAGAAGATGCCGGTTTTTTACTCACTGCTGAGTGATTGTCGATGAAGAAGGCATCCCCTACATGCTGGCGTGTGAGCTTCATTCAGGTATTATCCAATTTATATATTCATAATTCATTTTATACCAATATTATTATCATCGTTCTTTGTTTCAACACTTTGTACCAGAAAAAAACCATGTTAGGGCTCATTTTATAGATTCGCTAAATATTATTACCATAGGACACAACGAATTTTCATCGACAGGTCGGGCGGATGGCAACAACCATTCATGTAAATGTACTTTAGGGTATTTATTTTTGAGCTATATCATCTACAGAATGTCATTTAGAAATTTTATCTACAGAAATAATATTACAGTTCTTACTATTCACACACATATTTAAATATTATCATGCACTTATATCGAGTTTATGAAAAGGAAGTTTTATGTATATTCTTTGCATGCACACTCGATTCGTATAAAATTGTAAGAAATTAATTTTTTTCCGCCTTCAAATAACATTTTTTTAAATCATTGTATTCTTATTTGGGCAGTCTGAGAAAAAAACAGAGTTTGCTGAGATCTAAGAGGAACACATTTGACACAAAAGAAGGAACTGTATTTATATACATATGTCCTCTGTCACTCTCTATTTCTCTCAATAAGCCATCCTCTTTGAATCTGATTTAAAACTTTTATATATCCCGAACTTTCCCTTATATATAAAGGTTCTTAGGATGTGTAACACTAGGTTGACATAGCAGCACTATGATTTCGAAAACGAAAGATGTAACAACAGATGGTGATCGACAACATCATTGCTTTGTGTAAACCTTTTTTATTGTCATTGTAGGAGGAAGAGCGGAAGAAGCGTGAGGAACTAGAGAGGATTATGGAGGAGAACAACAGAAAGATAGAGGAAGCTCAGAAGAAATTGGTGAGTTATCCAGACAACATTGACATATTGTACAAAAGGAGGTATTATGTGTCAAATGCATATTCACATATGCATATTTAACTTAACATTAGGCTGAAGAAAGATTGGCTATGGTTGAAGAACAACGATTAATGGAAGAAGAGAGGCAAAAAATGAGAAAGGAGCACGAGAAACGCGTTAAGGAGGAACAGAAGAGAATCTTAGGCAAAAACAACTCGAGGCCTAAATTATCCTTCACTTTAAAGCCGGTTACGTGAGTCTGTGTATTGTTTCATACAGTTTGATGTGATATGTACACAAAATCTTGTCAGTTTTCATACTTGAATCGCGAAAACAGTCGCCATAAGGCTGCATCTACATAGATCTACATTATAGACTTTATAGTGCAGTAACGTAAGACCCAAAAAGTTCACCCTAATGTATTCAAAACAGTTGTTGAAATCACACAAGGCAAGATTAAATTTTATTTGATTGTGATGATGGATGCATCAAAATTAAATAATTAATTCTTGTCTTGTGAGGTTTCAATGTAGATACAAATGGGATTTCACGTTGTGCGAGAATACACTGACATCAGTATGAACAAAATAAGTTTTTAATCATGAAAAGTATTATATACATGTATATATAATGGTAAAAAAATACATAATATCTTTAATTTAAATTTTTTTTATTTTATTTTATATATCATATCTTAAAATATTTTTTTCAATAGCTATGTCATGTTCTACCTGATGTAAGTGTATTTTAGCTTATTTGAATGTGTTCTATGATTTATATATATATATATATATATATGTGTGTGTGTGTGTGTATATATATATATATATATATATAATTTGTATATTATAATTCTCTATTATCATCTTAATATAAAGAAATGCAATATTTTATTTCAGTGAATGAATCACACATAACATTAGATCATTGTGCATCGCAAAAATAGTGAATTGTTCATATTGTTAAATTGACTGAATGTTATTTCTTACACAAGACACAGACATTGTGAATAATAGTTGTTATAATTTTCATTTTTTACAACAGTTATCTATTTTATGAACATGTCTGAAAATAACACACGTTAAAAATGAACAATTTTTACGGCAATGTGATTATACGCATTCACATTTTTAGAATCTGCAAAATGAGAATGAAATGATGGTTTTACAATACAAAGTCAAATTAAAAGACTAATAGCGATTTTAAAAATTATAAAATTAAATAAGTGTGTACGTGAATAACATGTATGAACGTGGGCATGACATAAATTACATTATAATACTGTATATTCATTTGTTCTGCGACAAGAAAATATTTATCCATATAGGATTGTATACCTACCGCGCATTGTTACTTGTAAAATAAACATGTTTCTAATAAATTACTTGCTATTATTCTGTTAATCACTCCTCATGCAATGAAAGAAGAGAATGCAAATGTGCTTTCTCGACATATTTACCTAGCAATTCATGATGCATTGTTTATATGCTAATACAAAATTGCTTGCATTAGGATTGAATAGATTATGATTGGAATTGAAACGGTTCTATGCGAAACAGATTTCGAAGAAGCATATTTTGGCAGTATTACAGTTGTGTTAGAATCAGAAATTTCACGGCAATTTCGATGTCACGAATAAACCTTTGCCACGAATGCCAAGACTCGTACTTTGCCCTAAGACATTAACGCCATAAAACGAATTACGTTGCTTGTAAATACATTCGAATCTTCCGCAAGTTGCTTTTTTATTTTTACGACGATCTAAGACAACTAAAGATTATAATAATTTATATATATATATATATATATATATATATATATATATAAATGTATTTTTTTATTTTTAAAAATTACCTTTCATTGTGTCCTCTATGATCTCTGGATAGAGTTTTTCAGTGACTGCGCTACTTGGCGGATTCAATCGTGGATTTGTATTTATTTCTAACAGCCATACCGAAAAATCATCCGCCACTACGAAATCAGCACCGTATAATTGAAAGCTATTTTTACGATTTACCATATTATCTTGAGACGCCAGAAGTGCTCCTATCAAATTTTGCTTTATTCCTGGTCTGATAATGTTTTTCCAAGCCATTTCTTGATCGCGCGATCTAAATCATCAGCTTACAATTAGTTGATTAATTAATTTTTAACAATTTGTAAGAGAGCTTGTAAAATAAATACTTGAGATAATTTTTGAAATCTTGTAGATTCCAGTGAAGTTCCTCGGGTAAATTGGAATTGCATCTTGGCAACTTTCGATACTTTAGCTGCACGGTTGTATTACACAAGTGAACGGATTCGTGAAAATCGCTAAGAGTAAAATCTCTCGACGCGAATCGTATTAAGATATCCCTAATTATTAAAATAATCTAAATTATTGAAGACTTTAAAATGAACATAAAGATAGTAAAATGCGAAATACTTGAACATCCACACGACAAGAGGTTGTGTACTGGTTATCAAGAACCACTGTCTGATATCTATTTTTGTTTTATAGACAAGTAGTGGTCGCTCTATAAAAATTATAATTATAATATGGCATTTCTTTAGAAAATTGAATTTCTTTGTTGATTTTTTTATATTATAATACGAATGTGTTTTTTTTTTTCAGATATTACCTATATATTTCTGTACAACATATTCAGTGTTTTCTTTTGCTGCCTGATTTACTTTAGCAAGGATACCGACTAAAGAACTTTTCAAAACAATTCCACGTCCCAAACTGTCGTCGCCTGGTTTTAAAATCCAAATATTGCGTATACCGTCGATCTTGCTTTGCGATCGATATTTTATCATTGTTTTTATTACATTGCGCACAGATGTCACGAGTTTCTATAAATTCCAAAATTCTTTTTAATCACATTTTTTAAATATTTTTTTTTCTCGTTATATATAATGATAAAAAAATAATATTAAAATGTTTATACTCACGTTTATGTCAACTTTATCGCTTTCTTTTAACAAAACACGTTCGTATATTATTTTGTAGTACCAATCTAGAAATTGATTCCATGCAGATGGAGGAGCATCCTTATAATCCTTACGGTCAATGTCCTCGTGTGTTTGGACGCTAAAAATGGTTTTGTACATTATATTTGTATAATACAAATATTTTTTTACAAACCTTATATATTCTATACAACGTTCCAAGGCGAATAAAATAGCATCTATGGGGATTGTGCCATTCAGAGACCAGACGTTCTTCGCTTCTACCAAATTGGTGAGTAATAAAAACCACTTTAAAATTCCAAAACACGCAGTAATGTAATAATCGTGTATAAATTCGTCCATTTGTGCTGACTGTGAGAAATAATTTAATATGTATTAACATAATTTATATATATTATAATGTTGTATAATTTTCAAAAGCGTGCTATTTTCATACTTGATACATGTTGTAGCATCGAGGAAACTGTATATTTGACACGCCACTTTCGTAAAACCAATAGGCATTTTCCAAATTATTACACATATCAATCTAAATAATTCATTGATAGAAATTGTGTATTTCACGTTATGTAGCATATTTTTTAACTAAATTACCTTTGACGTAAAATAACTGCCAGCAAATTTATTTACAATGGTCTTGTCGTCCGCTCTTATATTAGGTCTCTTATACGTATACCATATAAAATCCGGAGGAGTTTGAAGAAATTTTTCGATTTGTTTCAAGCGATCTGTAAAACGAAAAAATTAACTTTCAAATTAATTTAATTCGAACAAAGAGTATTTCAAAATACAACCTTCATACGTGTCGGGAGTCATTGAAATCATTTTTCTAATTGCTTTTTTCTCAAGCCAGCCTCTATCTATCAATGGTTTTCTCAGAACCGGAAACGTACCGTAAATTACGTAATATTTATGCTCGGTTTTAGCTTTCGTCAAGATCTTTAATAGAATATTTAGCTTTGCTTCGTCGTTTGTTACTAATTTTAAATATTCTGTCAATATTATGTTTCCATTTTCCTGATCATTTTCTCTGTCTTTCGTTTCTAATAATTCTTCTAGATTCTCGCGATTGCAATAAATCTCAGCATTCACAGTTTTGATCCTTTCGATCGTACTTTGCGAATTATTGTTCAATTTCGGAACTGTTAGAACTAATTGTAAATTTTTTTCTTTGTTGCTTGCACTTTTTGGACAGCTCTGCAATGAAAATCATAATGCTGACGGTAAAATAAATAAGAAAAATTTGCAATCTATAGAATCTTTCGATTCAAACCTGCCAACTTTCGAAATGTTTTCTGATTGTGCAATTTTTTGAAGTTAAAGTTATCTGCCATTTATTGTTAGATTGATTGTTTGTACAAATTATTGAATTGTTGTTGTTGTCGTATTGCATTGTTGTGTGCAAATTTGTTTGGTATTTTTATTTGACTAATTTTTTAAAATATTTGATTTCACACTTGACAATTTGCTGCAAAAACGTCAATTTATTGCTTTCGTTTTACTTTTATCGATTATCGTGTGACTCGATAACCTACATTTCATGTTTTATGGCATGAATCTCTAGCCACGATTAATAAATCTGCGAAAATGTTTCCGAATTAATGCAAATCTGTTATCTTTGTTCATTAAATTTATTTCCATTTGTTATCTTTTGTATCTGTTCAATGTTTTCTTCACGTACTCCTCTACTGCAGGATTTTGAAAGATTGGCTTCTGAGTTTTATATTTTAAGTTTGTAACAGATAATTTCTTATCGTCATCTTTACATTTGTTTAATTGAGGGTGCTTAAAATTTGGATATCCCAATTTATTTTTGGAAGAACAAGGAAATGTTTTTGATTGAATTGTATCATCATTTTTATTCATTTTTTGAACGACGTCTTCGACAGTTTTTAGCACGCATTTATTTCTTATAGCTTGGTTCTGTTATTCGTATAGAATTATTGTTTCTACTATTAAATGCACTCATATTGGAAATTTTTTTATTTATTTGATATTTTTCGACATTTCACGTAATAAAATTTTTTGCGATAGTGATAGTAAAACAATTGTTAGTGGTATAATGGTAACATTTATTGATTGTATACATATACTTGTGTAGATAGAATTCGAGAATTGATCAACAGTAAAGAGGAAGATAATGAATAACAAGTGCGGTTGAGATAGGCTTATTTGGTCAGACTTAAGCCAACAGCGTACATGTCGGTGATATTCGACAGAACTTTATTTTTCTTATGGTGTATTTGTTTCTTCGGGAAGCTGCGAGTCTTACTCTTAATCGTCGACGCAGAAGTGGCCTTTGCTGTTGGCGTAAGCAAGGACGGCAGTGGCGATACTTGTGGCGAAGTCGTCACATTTCTCTTGTATTTCTTCACGGCATTTTGCATCGCAGTTTTGATGATCTGAAAAAAATGGAAAGTGAAAAACAAACTTTCTAAGCACACTAAATAATAAGAAAAAAATTTATACGTGAACCTTCTCTTCATTTTTTCTCAATGGTTTCTCAGATTTAGACATCATGTTAGCCGATTGTTCCTGAAGAGCCATGATTTTTGAAATTAATGTTTGTCTTGTCGGGGATGTCTGATCTTGTTTGCTGCTCGCAGTGTCAGGGAATGTGCGTGACTTTCGTGCCGGCTTATGCGGAGAACTTCTTCCATTTCTCAAAGGTTTAATTGGATTATTCTGTGAAACATGACAAATGTATCAAGTAATTATTTTTGTTTCTTCTTAAATTGAATTTCAGTTACCTGAACGCTAGTTCTGGACAAAGTTGGTGATTTTATCTTACTGATGGATGTGTTTGCGGAAGTGCTCTTTGTCAGAGTTTCCGTTTTCTCATCAGAAATCGATGTCTTTATCGGAGCAGTAGCTGGAAGTGTCAGTCTCGACTTAGGCGAGTCCGTGTTATAATAAGAGTACAATTCTTGATCAAGTTGAATCTCTAGCTCCTCGATAAGATCGACGATTACCGGCCCGATGTTGTTGTGCACTACCGATTTCTTTTTCATCTAAAGACTCAAATAAAATACGCTATCGATATTTGTAACATTAAATTTTTCGTTATCTTTATAAACTCACCATCGGAGACTTTGCGATTAAACTGGCTTTTGAATCTTGATTCATATTCATTTTTTTTTCGCAAGTGGTGAGGCGAGTACCCTGAAGAGACAAAGCGGTCCCCAAATAGGGCTGGTAGCTCGGCATTCGTTGTTTGTATGCCAACTCAAAATTTCCGGTATTCGCATTTTTATCTTCTCGAAAGTCCACCACGACTACCGAGAAAAATATGATTTTTGCTCTAATCATCTGTATAATAGTTTAGAAGAAGAGCGATTTTTTAAATTAAGTTATCAAGCACCTTTGATGGTGTCTTCCATCACTTGTCGACATAATCGCGAAGTGACACTGGTGGAATAGCTCATGTCCGGATGACTATTGATCTCGATTAGCCACACAGAAAAATCCTCCATGATCATAAAATCGGCACCATATAATTCGAAACTATTTTTTCGTCGATCCATAGCCTCTTGACTAGCTAATAACGAGCCTACCAGACCTTGCTTCATTCCAGGATAGATTAGCTCATTCCATGCATCACCGTGACCTTGAGATCTGAAGAATTTTCATGAAAACTTTTTAAAAAAATTATTTCAATTATATGCGCAGGAATATTATGTTTTTTTTATTAAAGACAGATGTAGAGAACATTTAAAATAACAAAAAATGAGAATTTTAGAAGAGTTATTCTTCGTATGACGTAAATCGTACTTGAGATATTCCTTAAATGTCGTGGCGTCCCACATATTGTCCGTGGGTAGAGTTGGGTCCCTGTCGCAGCAGTTATTGTATTTGCATTGTATCGCGTGATTGCACAGATGGATCGACTCGTGAAAGTCATCTAAACTGAATTTTTGCGAGCAAAAACGAAGGTAACTCTCTCTGGAAAGAAGCAATAAAATGACAAACCTTGCACTAGCAGCAATTAAATGGAGACTATCAGATAATTTGTAGGTGCACTGTGTCTGCGGATATTTATATCCGCAAATTTAACTACCAGGAAAACGCAGAACCGCGCGCTTTAATGTTAAACGAGTCATAAAATTGATTATTACCCTAGTTCTGGAGCTCTATCATTTATTTCTTACAGTCAAGTCGCTATTTTGCCCGTTAATTGTTCTGGCATGATCCAGATGTTGTAAAATGTCGTGACTTATCTGAAAATCCTTGGTATATTTACGTACCTGTACATCCAGAGAGTTAAAGGTTGAGCGCACGTCACGATAAACCATTGTCTTATGTCGAATTTTGTATTATGAATGAGTAGCGGCCGTTCTAATAGAGAAATAATTACTGTGTTGTTTTTAATTAAAACATTTTTTTAAATGCCTGAGAAGAATCGGTTATTCTTTTAATTATTAATCCGAAAATTTTATTACCGATGTATTTTTGCACGACATATCGTGTGTCTGGTTTGCCTGTTGGATTTACTTTTGCCATTACATCTTCCAACTTGTTCATTAGAACGATACCGCGTCCTCGACTCTTGTTTCCAGGTTTCAAGATCCACAAATTCATTATGCCATCCATGTCTATTTGCGGCCAATGTTTTCTCATCTTTTTTAATATATGCTTTGAAGCCAAAACATATTTCTGCAAATATGATATAATCTTTTAAATTTAATATATAATATATATTAATATGTTTAATATATTATATATTAAAATAAATTGTATATTAATAAGTAAAATGAATAGAAAAATTTCTTAATTTTTTTATTTGCCGACAGGTATCTTACGTTAAAGGGCACATTGGTGTGAATGAAGAGAGCTTCATCACGAATGATCTGATAATACCAGCTAATAAATTGATCCCACTGATGAGACCAGACTCTCTCAACCTCCTGATCGATGTCTTCGTGTGATTGGGCGCTGATATAATCATTGCATCTTTTGATTGCAAAATCTAGAGCCTTGAGAGGTATGGTACCAGTTGGTGAACGCACGACGTCTTCATTCTCAGCATTGACCTTATCCACTAACCATTTCAAAAGGCTCAAACAACTTGTGAGTCTAATAAAATATCATTATTACTTGCGTTATTATATAACTTGCATTATTAGCTATATAATATATTAATTGAATAATTTTATCCAACAGATAATCGATTAACATTCACCGAAAATCATCAATGAAGGCGTGCATCTGGTCGCTTTGATAAATGTTGTAACAACGTGGAAATAATGTGTTAGCCACTCCAGCTTCGTAATACCAGTGCATTTGTCTGACGCTTGAACACAAGCCCACCTGAATAATTGATTTTCGAAGAAGTTCATGCAGCTTTTCCCTAACGTTTCGACGGCACGCTCGTCAAAAACGTCTATTCTCGACCTATATCCTCTATCTAAACATTTCTACTTTACAAACATTTGTCAAACGTCTGAATTCTGAATCATGTTTGCCAAGTTTTCACAAAACAAATCTTTTACAATTAAATTTTCTACTAAAATTAGAAAAGTGATTATTCCGCATTATATTTGACTTGTAAATTCTAGATTATGGAGTCTATAAATAGAAGTTAAAAATACGGTAATTGAGAGAGTTCGCTAATGATACCTTGGACGTAAAACCAGCACGACAATATCGATTGAACACAGTAGTTTTGTTATCTTGCGCGGGCCAGCCGGGCCAGTCGGACCCCGTATTCCAGAGGAAATCGACAGTATGATGGGTAAGCATTCTTGATATTAATAAACGTTCGCTTTGCTCATCCTTCAAGTCGCAGATTCCAGCCAATAAAATTATCGGGTTGGCATCAACGCCAAAATGCTGATCAGCTGAAATATAATTGTTATCTTTAAAAATATAAAATATAGATTATAAAGTACGAGTATTCAGCATTTTTTAAAGCAAAGTAAAGTTTTTTTATTAAAGTAAAGAAGTCTATTAGAAGTTGTAAAGGTGCAGAATGATTTATTATACCACTACTGTTTTTGCGATAAAATTTCTCGCGCCATCCTCTTTTCAGCATGCAATCGCGAATGACCCGTGACTTGCCATAAATCATAAAAATATGATGGGCAGTTATAGCGTCCTTCACGATTTGCTTGATACGCAAAAATCGTTCGTGAAGGGTCGGTTCTAAAGGCAGTTCGATTTTATTTTCTGAACAATCTGGTTCTTCTATAAAAAAATTATTCAAAATGTACACACACAATTGATTGATATTTTTAACTTATTTACTCTTAAAAATAATTTTAATAAATTTTTTTCAACCTTCTAGAGTTTTAATATCACAATTTGTTGCATCAGTGTTTGTCACCACTTCCTCTCCGCAATTTTCATCTTCGTTCTCAACATTTTCTTTCGTATTCTTTTTATTTTTGCTTGAACTTTCCAGGTTTGAAGAGGACTCATCGTTGGCATTCATGTAACGGATCTGAGAACCGCAGTTTTCCCACGCAAATGCGTATCACTGATGTTTATGGATTTTTCATCGCTCCGCAGATTTCAATAAAAAAGAAGTATGTGTAAAGGAAGCGTCGTTATTTTAATCTGAAACTATTTTACGTAATTATGCTTATATACTTACAATTAGATTAATTTAAGAACAACACAATCATTATTAATAATCTTTAAAATATTTTATGTAAACTAAAATTCTCTAAAGTAAAACTTGAAAAGCGAATATGAAAAGCGCATGCTTAAATTTTCAATGCAATTTAATAAGTCGTGATAAAATCACTGCGCCACTTCTGATACCTGTTGAATCTTCGATAGTTGCGCATGAATACATCTTTTGCAGGTATTAATAAATATTCACGCGAGACTAATTAAAAATTGTTACTTTAAGAGAACCGAAAGTGGAAAAGTAAAAAGAGCATAGCCGTACGATGAATGGAACTGAGCGAAGATGATATGCGGATGGAAGTGGAGGCAAGACTGAACGATGACGACGAGGACACACGCGAGTCAGATGGTAGAATCTGATATTTCGCAGGCGCGCGCCGCAGGGATGTTTTAAGGCGCCCCTGTTAGAAGCAATTGGATCACGATGATATCTCACTGCGAGAATCATTTAATCAAATCCTTCGTTCTCTCCCCCTGAGCTATTAAAAAGCCAATCATCCCAAATCAATTGAGAAAAGTTGGAGGAGAATTCGGAAGAAATTCAATGTCAATCTTTGTCGTATAGTAAGTAAAATTTTATAAGATTAAGATGTCTCAATTCTTTTGATCGCAAAACGACAGTTCTATTTGTGTTAAAAAATTGATCATTTTTTTTTTTTTTAAGAAAAGTTCCGAACGGAAGTCCTTGAAGTGTTGAAGGCACTCATGAATGTACAAGACGCTTTCAAGTATCTCCTAATTATTGGGAGTGACATATGCATGACGAACAAGCACTAGACTAAATGGTCGCGTTAACCAGGGCAATAAAAGCGGATGAAACGTTCCTGAACACGTGAGCTGTGCAGGTGATGGTTGAACGGTAGCTTACGAGCAGCGTACCAGGCACACCCCCGCGGCGCAATTGCCGCGCAACCCCCCGGGTCGGAAATATGGGCAAGGAAGTCAAAGCAATCGCATGGCTAATCGGATCACGCTTCTCTCTCCTCGGCTGCTTCGCGTACATTCTGACCCACTTACACGGCTGCATCTCCGGTGAAGGCAGGTGGCGGCGTAATGAATCGCTCGTTCGTTATTCGACTTGGTATTTTCGTTAATTGCAGAGGGAGGTTTGATCCTCGTCATCTGATAATGTCTATTTTCGGAAACCGACCGAATTCGTTTCCAAATTCAACATTGATCGCGTGCGAGATGGGACGCACGCGGAACGAGATCTTTAGCAATACTTTGAGATTTGTTTAACAAAATATATTAATAGAACATGAAACACTGAGAATTTATTGGATGAACGATCTGAATGATTGACATATTGCTGTCATTGACAGACGGTATTGAAGAAGTGAAGATCGCGAAACGCAAATGACACATAGGAAACATATATGTAAGATATATGAAAAATATAATAATGTAAAAATATAATCATGTTATCTGATGGTAGAATGAATTTCTGGAAACTTTATACACCATATTGCTTTATGTAAATATCTTTGATTACCTAATCTTATTTTTCAACATTAGTCTTTTTCTCATTCTATATGACTATACGTCATCGAGATACTATCAGCGACTTTTTCCGCTTTTTTATTTGCTTTGCAACTATTATTTGGACTGAAGTAAGTGTCAAGGTTACGCGACCTTTAACAGTAACAAAACCGTTTCTTATCTAGCGCGATGAATCATCAAAAATTTATATATAATTTTCACTTTCTTAGCGATGAATAATGATGCAATTCTTTGTACCATTCTTTTTCTATTCATAAATTATTTTTGTTATTAATTCTATTATTAAATATTCCCAGATAGTCAAATGCAGTGAGTTTGCTGTCATGTTGCTAGCAATCGTGTTATGTTGAAAGCAACTAATTTTAAAAAACTTAAAACAAGGTGAGCTTAAAGCAGCATTATGTCTGTAAGCTATATATATATATATATATATATATATATATATATATATATAATAGCTTGTTGCTAATAAAATATTGACAATATGCAATTGTCACATAGCATGACAGCAATAAATAATATTCATCATTTTTTGAGTATCGTACATGCAACATGACGGCAACATATAATAATATATATATATATATATATATATATATATATATATAATATATATATATATATATATATATATATATATATTGTTGCCGTCATGTTTGCATTATCGATACTCAAGAATGATGAATTATTATTTATTGCTGTCATATTGCTGTCATATTGCTGACATGTTGCAGACAACATAACATACGTATTAGTATTGCAAACTGTTTACTTTTACAATTTTGTAATCTGCATTTATAAACAGTTATGTTAGCTGCATTCGTAACGTGTTTTACTTTGATATCAGCAAATATAGAGCGAATATGTAACAACATATGCAAATGCATTAGTTTATGCTCATATCGATATGCTACCACGCTTGGCTATCTGGGTTTTTAACAATTATTTTAGACATAGGATAATATGTGTTAACAATTTTGCTCATCAAAATCTATTTAATAATTAATAATAAAAGTCATAATTCTTTAATTAAACTGCATTTTAATTAATAAATTTATTTAAATGCTAGAATAATACAATATTTTCTTCAATGATTAGATAATATAATATTTATTTCTTAAAGTAACATGCATTTTTGCATTCTCATTATGAAGAATAATTCTTTAACTGTCATAATTTTATATTTAATGTGTTTTTAATATCATTTCCAATATATCTCTTATATTACTGACCTATAAAGCATCGTTCAAAGTTTCCGCCTACAATAGTAGTTTCTAAAGATCGCTACTGTGTCGCGGCGACTTCTTCGTGTCATTCGTGCCTCGTGCAACGATATGAGTTGGCACAAAATAATCTGAATGCATGTACAAGTACAATCATATGTCATATGATCAGTTAATAAATATTAATGGATTGATGAGGCGAGTGCTTTTTACCGACCGTTCTGAATAACTCCTAATTGTTCCTCGTCACATTCCATGTGCATCCACGCCGCAAGATAATACTGAGCAAGTTGTGTATGCAGCGGCAATATGGCTAAGAATTTGATTAAAAAAACAGCGTTATTGTTATTTACTCAAGAATGTACGAACGAGTATTTGGACAAATTCAATTTCCTTCACGGTATGTTTGCTCCAAAAACATAACAGTATTAATAAGATTTTATTTCAGCTATTCATAATACATAAAAGTAACACTTTTTATTTATAAATTAAAAACCCCGATTTAAAATTTTGCAAAATATAAACCTTTTCTCGTGTCTAATTAATTAATTAACATTATTGTTCTTAAAAAATAAATGTTATTATCCTAATTTTACAGTTCTCACAAAAATACTATAATATTGAAATATTATATAAGTGCTTATTTTCAATGTAATAAATAAGTTTATTGTTGATAATCTGTAAATTAAGTCATCAATTTGAAACATAAATTTTCTTATAAAAAAACAATTGTATGTAGATAAAATAGAATTATTTTGAAAATGTTTTAGCCGCATGTTTCAAGGCGACAGTAAGCAAACTTTTAGGACTGAGCATCGTTGGAGGTTCTTTACTTGGTTAGTAAAACACAAAGATATTTCATTGCTTCATGAAATACATAGTATTGGATAATCATGATTTCATTGTAATCACTTTAATAAATGATATTATTGTGATTTATATAAAGTTAAAAGTTAGAAGTCATGTAATTATATATTTATGTGATTCCATGTTTCTGTTTCTTACAGGCATATCTTATCTATGTATGCTATGTTATCTCTTGTTTTTTCTTTTTTTCAGTCAAGGTACCTCAAATTGTGAAAATTCTAAAAACAAGAGCGGTGAAGGAATCAATGTCTTCAGTGTATTGTTGGATTTATTTGCCATTACTGCAATGTTGTCTTATAGTTTTATGAGGGGGTTTCCATTTAGGTGAGAATGAGTAATTTAACGATAACAAAATATATAGGCAAGCTTTATTTCTACATAAAAATTTATTCGCTATTATATAATATAATTTCAGTGCCTGGGGAGATGCAGTATTTTTAGCAGTTCAAACTTTGATTATTGCAGTCTTAGTAATGCATTATAATGGAGAAACAGTAAAAGCCACTGCATTCCTAACTGCTTATTTAGCAGTGCTTTTTGCAGCTAACAGTGGACTAACGCCTATCCATGTCCTTTTGGCATGTCAAACAATGAATATACCTATTGTTCTAATTAGTAAGGTATGCAATTTAATTATCAAATCTTATTCTTGGAAGAGAGAGTCATTCTTGTCATCGCTTATATGTTTCAAATTTTACAAAATATCAATCAATGATTTTACATGTTACAGTTTTCACAAGCCTACACAAATTATTCCAATGGAAATACCGGCCAATTATCAGCGGTAACATGTTTCATGCTCTTCTTCGGTTCTCTCGCGAGAATTTTTACTTCCATCCAAGAAACAGGCGACACAGCTATGATAACAATGTATATGTGTTCTACACTAGCAAATGGTGTAATAGTGGCGCAACTTCTTTACTACTGGGACGTAGATATAAAGAGCAAAGAGAAAGTTAAGAAGAAAGAATAAAATAAAAGATATATGAATGTTTTTATATTTACAATTAGTATAATCAATTGATAATCTCTATAGGCCGATAATAATCATAAATTTGATATACGTGGCTGTATAAAATTTTGTATGGATATTTTATAAAGCCAATGTGATATTAAAGAAATGAACGCTTGGGAATCAATTTCTATAGAAAAAAATTTGGAATTGTGTTCATCATCATTATATATTGCTGGTCATGAACATTGTGCACTATGTGTGTGTGTGTGTGTGTGTGTATGTATGTATGTATATGTATATATATACACACACGTAATATTGCAATTTTATGGCTAATAATGTATATAAATATATAGTTTAAAACTATTGTAATAGTTAAAACTTAAAACCCCTTATTGCAATAGTCAATATCATTTTGTATTTTGAGACTTGAAATAATATATTACTTATTTTTTATTAAAAGAAACATATTGTATAACATGACAATACATACTAAAAAAATATCATTCTATAAATATATGCAATTATAGATAAGATTAGATTATTGTTGAATGTATTATCTTACAATTAGTATTTGTTATATTCTTCCATATATAAAATAATTACAACATATCTTATTATTTTAGAGAACCCAGTGAAAAATCATTAGTTAAAAAAACGTCGAATCAACGTCTAGTGATTTCTCACTGGGAAATTATAATTAAACTTGCTTTAGACAATTTTACAATAAAATTCAAAACAGAAGTCTATTTATAATTTAATTGTCTACGTATTTTTATATATATAATGTACATATTGATATGTATTTTTTTGTATGGATGCATTTTATTTTTTTATATTAGTTTTCTATATTACACGAAAACTGCAATAAAATAAAATTATAAATAGAAGTCTGTTATAAATCTAAAATGAATTTTAAGAAATATATTATGTCTTCTATGTTATATGTAATAATACATACTTATAAATTACAATTTCTAGATATTTGTTGCATTATTATATATTAAGTGCGATCATCTATGTATTAAATGATTATAATTGTTAAAATAGTCGTAAACTTATTTCAATATTCCGTACTATGACATATTGTAATTATGCAAATCGCAATTTCCGTAAAAAATCACAAATCTGTCAAATTTTATTTGTCAAATTAATGTATTATATCGGTACAGTTTTTTAATTTAAATATTTCTCTGAAATCCATTTCGTAGAAAATTTCCAAGCAAAATATATATATTCAGTATGTAAATACTTGTATGTTTTCTATATGTAATAATACTTATAAATTGAAATTTCTAGATATTTTTTGCATCGTTATTAAGTGCGATCAGCTACCTATTAAATAATCTTAATATAATTGTTAAAATATTCATAAACTTATTTCAATATTCCGTATGATGACATTGCAATTATGCAAATCATCAATTTCCGTAAAAAGTCGCAAATCTGCCAATGTCATCCGTGAAAAATTAATGACTCGTATCATATTGGTACATTTTTTTTCATTTAAATTTCTCTAAAATCCATTTCTTCGAAAATTTCCAAGCAATTTAACAAAGAGAAGAGCTATATATTCGGTAGCGCGCCTCGGCGCTGGCGCTCGATAAAATAGTTGGCTCAGCGCGCATGCGCCGTCAGATTCTCCTGCAACACTATCGTTTCCGTTTCGTCACACGACCGTGACTCGCGCGACGACACTCGACGTTCGTGCACGCGTTTGATTTGTTCCCGACGATGTCTCGTGGCGCAACGTGATTCTTTCCGAGTTCTCGTTGCCGGATCATCGCGGAACCTTAATACCCCGAGCGAGCGGTAAGTAAAAATGCTGTTGCGATTCTACGGGGCCCCGGGCTGGCGAGAAATGAGCGTTGGATGCGAACAGGCGGTGCGAGGATAGACGGAGGCGTCATGGCGCCCGATGCCCTTCGCAGTTTCCCGGGTTCTGCCCTCAACGACCATCTTGTTGTCGATAAATCAATATATATAGATATATATATACAGCGCACGCTTCTCGCCACTACGTTAGCACGAGATAACTGGCGATAATTCGTCGCGACCCCGTGTCGTTCACGACGATACTCAGATTCTCGTTCTGCATTGCTCTGCGTCGCTTTGTCTCCGACTAGCTCGACGGAATCCTTTCGTAATCATACGATGCGATGCCACCGGAGATATTCGGGTAGCGTGATAAAAAGAACGGAAGCGGTAACGTGTAGAGTTTTCGAAATTCCTGGACATCCGGTCGACGACACGTATCCTTGAACATGTTGGAACATGTCGAAACTGTTCGAAGGGCCTTTTCTGCATGAGAGAATTGTTTATGAATAGTTAGTTGTAGCTGTTATAACAATGTGTGTGCCAATATATCTATGTATAGGACGTAACTTGTGGAAATGTCGTGGCACGAACACGTGAACGAGTTTAATTCGAACACGCCGATTTTCATAGTCTTGCAGATTAGATTCGGATCTTGGTTGAACGAAATGGAATCTATGGACGCGCGTCTCGTGGCGCAGGCATTGAACTATCACGGCCAGCAGTTGCAGAAAGTATGGGAAGGAGAACGCAATGAAAACGAACTGATCATGCTCAATCTCAAGGATCCGAGCTTTGAAATATATCAGCAGCGACAGAAAACTCTTAGGTATGCATTGCTCATCTATGGAGATAATCCAGATACCTTGCATTTTGTTTTATTGGTTTAGTGTAATATTTTTCATTAAAATGTAATGCCATATGTATCTCTCGCAGCTTTGGAGACAGAGGCAAACGTCTGAAGCTTCAACAATTCCTTGCTAAAAAAGCCGATGCCCTGTATGATAAAGCAAACCTGGAGAAATCTGCGGAATGCTCTAAACAAGAACTTGGAGATGAAGGTAATGATTTTTTAAAATATTTTTCTTCTTTTTATCCAAGAGCGTGACAATAATTACTAATTACATAATGTTTATTTGTATTTTTAGAATTTTATGCTACAGTACCAGCACTTGATACTTTTGTCACCATGGAAAAGTCTCAACGCATTCGCAATTTTTTGGAGGTATAGATTGTTTAAATATTAATAGAAAAAGCAAATTAAAAAATTCCAACAATTGTTTAACTAGATATTATTTGTTCAATTTACAGAGTTTAATAATTGGGGATGTAATTTACGCGCAAGTACTAGGTAAAAGTGCCGCAGGTCTGCTTCTGAAGGTGCTTTGCAACTGCAGTGACTCTCCCAGAGTTGTTACTGAATTAGGAGTTAAGGTATATATCGACATATTATTTATTAATATTTAGTATTTTTAAAAATTTTATATATTAATTTTATATTTTATTTGCATATTTTTAATAAATTTTATGTATATTTTGTTCATCAGGCACTGATATTAAATACGGCCACTGTGCCGGCGGTGGACAAGAAAGGTGTAACAAGGGGCTACATGGCCAATGATCTCGTCTGCGTCGTAGTCAGTGAAGTTAACGTTGAAGCCGAGCGTGTTGTTGCAGTTATGAACGTACCTGCTCGGGAAGGGCAAGCGCCACACCCACCTATAGGACTTATTCATTCCGACGACCTTCCGGAAGCCTATAAGTAAGTTAATAAAATTATTTCAATTAGATATAATTGCAAGTCTACTGAATCCATAGTATGCTTCACTAACTCTTGTAAGTTGGTTCATTATATCACTGAGATATTTTATTCACATGATAAACGATGAAAGCGTTTTGTGATGTCACACTTTTGTTCATTGTGTATTTATTGTATGAGCACTTGCACTAAGAAAGACAAAATCGAAATTTTTTTTATCCAGTTGTAATAGACCCAGTCAATACACTGACTTTCTTCTTTGATTATATATCTCCTCGTAAGATGATAAATTTTATTACATACATAATTTTTGCTAAATTTTTTAAAAATAAAATTAAAGGTAAGAATAATACGGCATGGTGGGAAAAAGTCGACAAAGTCGAATTTTAACAGAAGCACTGTGATACTAACAAAATTAGGTAAATTAGATTTGATTCCTCTTACACGTTTTTATGAATTTAGGTGCCAGATACTGTATGTAACGTAAAAAGTTGATAGTCAGTATGATGATGAATTTCTAATGTGATACAAATGAATTCAAACCTTGAGCATTGGTTGACATGGCTCTGTTGCGCACATATTCTATCTACATTTGCGATATGTTCTCTCAAAACACCAGCCAAACTATGGCGCAAATGACTTTTGAGATTGAATTTCCAGTGTGAGACATTGAGCCTCGAGCCTTGGTCAGAATGAATGCAACAGACGGTAGGTATAACACTGATTTAAAGTTGTTTGGTCTCTTACCCAGGATATCAAGAATATATGTATATTTGTATTGGGTGTTTCTTTAAAATGTGTATTAATCTCATCTTCTTGCAAGTGATTGTATATTACAGCAAGAGGTATATGCAATCATGTTTTCCTTGTTAAAGGTAAGATAAAATAGATATGTAATCTATTAGAAAGTTACATCAGATTTGAAGCAGAGACCAAACAACTCGAATCTTAATCGCTCAACTTTTTACCTTTTTATGTTTAAGCCTCAAAAGAATCGCGCCTTGTCGTATAATAATGCCTTAATGTTTAAACTTACAGCTTATATTGACAAATAAAAAAAAAAGTGATGTCACATGTTGATAACAAATTGACATCACAAAATGCAAACAGGCGAAAATACTACATCTAAAACAATTTTTTTGGTCACCCGTGGAAGATAATATATATTCAAGCGTGGCTCTCCCAACTTATTCTAGGGCTATGCAATTTATTTTATCGCACCAAAAAAAAAAACTTATAAAAAATCGAAACCACACCATCGATTGATGATAGGCCGTATGCTTTTGTGTTGAGAAAAAAAATCCGATTACAAATGTGATACAAAATACTAGAAATATACGTCTTAACGGTACATGAAAGGTGAGAGACGAGTTTACATAATATTGAGGTTGTGTACCAATATGAATTTATAACTATGAGATTATATATCTGGTAATACAAGAATTTTACCTTCTACCGCCATTCCTGTTTCGGACCCCTGCTGCTTCTTAACGGTAGAAACGGTAGATTTTGAACGATTCTAATACCAGAAGTTGCACAACAATCTGTGTACAATGAAATGAAAAAGATAAAAATATAAGCACTTTTGGCATTAGTATCATGTCACTGAATAATACATGCAGATCGAAGTAAAGAAGCATCATTGTGCAGGAATAATTGAAATGAATTACAAAACTATCTCGTGTGTATGAATGTGAGAAGACTTCAATGGCTAATATGCACATATAAACATATGTATATACGAATAGAAAAGAAATATATTAAAAGATGTATCAGAGAGAAAACCGAGGCGCACACGCATTGCCAAACAGGCGATATTATCTACAGACAGGATCATACGGACTCGGCTGTCATGATTATCAAGTCTTTGGTTTTACCGTTAACGAAGTAGCTTTGGTTTCCTCTTCTTTGACAAAGGTCACGATGATTTTTGCAACGTTTGATAATCAAGTATTTTTCTCTGTGGTGTAGGAAAGCGATGGACAACAAAGGCCAGAGTTATGAAATGCTGTTGGAGAATAGTACTGGCTTCAACAATCCGAACAACATAAAATATCTGTGCGACTTGGTCGGTCTTGGACAAGAGAATCATTCTAATATGGTTGGATTGAGGTAAGACGTCTTGCAATATAATTTATATCGGTAAATGTAAATTATTTTTGTCCGTGTCTAATTATTTTTATCGATGCACAGAGAGAGATTTCCGCCAAATGAATACGCTTCTGAATTACGACAAGCGCAAGCAAGTAAATGGGCGTTCCGAAGCGTTGCTGAGGGTATAGATCATTTCAAGGCCGGCCGTCATTCCGAAGCTTTCCAGTGTCTCAACAAAGCACTCACCGTTGATCCTCGGAATGTTGAAGGCTTAGTCGCTCGAGGAGCATTGTAAGTTTTCCTATTGAATTTTGTGATAAATTTATTAATATCTACTCTGTAAAAATGCTTTATAACATTGTATCTCTATAAGTTATGTAGCAATATAGAGCAAAAAAGAAAGAGCTATAGAGCTACAAAGCTTTCTTCAAGCAAAATTTTTTTTTACAAAAACTATTTAAAATGTTGATATATGCACAAATGTATTTAATATACTATCTTTTGTTTTGCGCAGATATGCAAATAGCGGAAGTTTCAAGAAGGCGATTGACGACTTTGAGACAGCCTTGAAATTAAATCAAACGCATGCAAATGCTCGTAAGTATATGGCGGAAACGTTAGTGGCGCTTGGTCGTAGTTATGAAGACGAGAAGAAATACGAAGACGCTCAAAAGGCATACGAGAACTGCTTGGCGATTGCGCCGTATCACGAGGAAGCGCGAAATTCCATCGAGTACATAAAATCTAAGACCCTTACAGCATCACTGAATCCTTTGGATACCTTTAAAAATTTCGAAACCGAGAATGACGTTGTAGAAAACAAAAAAGATAAAAAGAAGCGTAAAAAGAGAGAAAATCTCGATCAAAGAAGAGGCAAAGATGGAGTTCCAGCTCGAGTTCCTCCTCCAGCGGTTCTTCGAGTTCTTCAAGTTCGGACTCGAGCAGCTCGTCGTCGTCCGGAAGCTCTCGTTCGGCATCCCGTTCGCCAAGTCGTAAGCGCAAGCACAAGAAAGATCATCGCAGCTCGCTTTCACCACTTAGCAAGCGTATGGCCCAATATAATAATCCTCCGGCTGCAGCTGCCACTACTCATGATACTATCGCGCCGGCCTCTTATACTGCGAATACGCGCGATAAGGTTGATGACTACGAAACTAAAGTACGCAAATTTCTTGAGCAGACCAAGGATGATTCTGATTACGAAGATAAGGCAAGAATAATTTTATAATTTATATATTAGGTTTTTTTAGGTGTTTACTCAATTGTGACACATTTCAAACATGTGCAATATAAAAATTAAACACGAGATTATTTTTTTATGCAAACAGGTGAGAAAATTCTTGGAAGAGACAGCGAGATGGAAGAGAGAAAGGGAAAAGGAAAAGAAACACTCTGAGAGTGAAAAGATGAAGAAGAAGAAGAAGAAAGAGAAGAAGGGAAAAGACAAAGAGAAGGAGGATAAGAAGAGTCGAAAGAAAAAGAAGAAAGAAGAACGGAAAAAGCGTAAAAACAAGGATAAACTCGAACGAGATTTAGAAGCGTTGAAAAAGTCGTCTTTACCAGACTTGGAACAGTTAGAGTCCAAACTTAATGCTTATTATGCAAAGGTTGAGAAAGACTGTGCGGCGTTGAAAAGGTTGGAATCTTTATTCGAATTGTCTCATATAATGAGTTTAAATTTTTTTTTATTTTTTTATTTATTTATTTTTTTTTTTTTATTGTCCGGTTAATAACTTATATTTAGTTTAACTTTGCATTCTATTACAATCGTCCTTTTATTTACGCCACTTTTATATCTTCAGCTAACGCAATTAAACGGAAATCACGTGGCCGTCAGATATCTCGTATTTTACTTATGTTTTTATATTTACTAGGTATGTAGCACAGTATAATGACATACCTTCCCCTCTTAGCAACGCGGAGAAGCTCGCTGAGAGTTCACGTAGGGAGGAGGAGCTGCGCAGAGAGAGGGAAAGGGAGAGAGACGAAGCTTCAAAGGCGTATCACGAGCGAGAATCCAGGATGCCCATGACTGCGCAACAGAGGAAAGGTATATATACATATATAAAATACTGAAATATAGAGTAATATCAGACAACAATACGATAAGCTCTTACCATAATTGTTTATCATAGAAATACAGAGGAAGCCACTAACAGACATATTTGAACAAGAGTCCCAATTGATTCATCCAGAACCAAAGCTGCCTACGTTAGATACTGCTGCGTTGAATGCAAAATGGAAAGCTGCGCAAGCTGCTAGGTGAGTATATAAAATAAATATATATACAATATGAATCTTTATTACAAATCTATAAAATTTAATTTCTCAAATTTTATTTGGTTGTGCAAATTTATATATTAATGTATGATTTTAGACAAAAAGACGTTCCTCCGCCAAAGTGGCAAGATATTCCACCGGAAAGCAAGAAAATGCAATCTAATGTTTTTGTGGACAGTGATGAGGACGATGACAACGAATTGGAAGAGAGGCTACAACGCGCAGCTCTCGAAAAGTCCTTAAATATACGGAAGCAGATGCAGCGTGAACTTGCCGAAAAGAGAGCACCGCCGCCGCAATCTGCACCGACACCTCCACCGCCATTGCCGAAGGAGCCTCCGAAGCAAGCGCCTGTCAAGTATCCCACGCCACAACCGCAAAACAAATTCCAATCGTACAAAGAACCCACCATGTCCATTTCGCAAACCACACCGACCAAATTTGGCTCTAATAACAATTTGGGTGGCAAGTTTCAACCGATCGGTCAAAACAGCGGAACCGGACATCCACCCGAACCACCGCGGCCTCCGCCACCAGCGAAAAATAGTCAAGCCAAAGGACCGAGAACCGATTCCGATAGCGAGACTGAGCGAGGTCATCGACAGACTCCGAAGAAACGTGATTCGAGCAGAGGTGGTGTCAACAAGCGTATGAGCAGAGACCGTCCGGCTAAACGATCGCGCAGCCGATCTCGTAGTGCATCCAGTTCAGGTTCGTCGAGATCTCGATCACCGAGGCGAAGTCGTTCGCGATCGTATTCAAATCGACGATCGGGAAGTTACGAGAGGAAGTATAGCAGATCTCCATCTGGCACCTACAGCAGATCGCGATCACGTTCGCGAACTAGATCATATTCGAGGAGTCGCAGCCGCAGTAGGTCAGGTGATCGAAATTATTATCGCAAGAGACAATTTCGGCCGTATAATAATCGCGGCACGTACTACAAGCCACGTTTCCAAGGCTTCAATAATCCGAATCATCGCGGCGGCGGTAACAATTTCCAAAACCGAAATCGCTTTTACAACAATCAGCATAACAATCGCTTCGGCAATCGTCGCGGTGGTGGCTTCAACAATCGTGGCGGCCGCGGCGGTCGTGGTAATCGTGGTGGCAGATTCTTCCACAAACAGAATTTCCGTGATTTCCGCGATAGACGGGACTTTAGAGATCGCCGTACATCGCGCGATCGGTACAGCGATCGCAGCTACTCGCCTGATCCAATGAGGAAGGTGGACGAAGCAAAGGAGAAGATCAACAAGATGCTGGAAGGTGGCGAGGACGTCGAACATCAGCAGGGTGGCAGCGGTGGCTCAACTGTACCACCTAACAAGAGACAAGCTGGACCCTTGAGCGAAGGAGAGGAAAGAGATGATGATGACTATGAGAGATGGGGAGAGGGAGAGGGGGGCGATGCAGCTAGCACCAAGGTTGGTTAGACTCTGCGTAGGTTTTTGGCATACGAAAATGGCCGGCTCGTCTTTGCGATGACGATCATGATAACAATTGATGATAAAAGCGGAATAGCTGACGGAGAAAATGACAATGATGATGATGATGATGATGATGATGATCAGCCACATACACGAGGAACAAACTAACTCTCGTTTGTTGCCAGAATGAAGGGGTTGAACCTGTCGACGAGAACCTGGATGGCAAGGAGTACTTCATTGAGCGCATGAAACAGCGAAGCAAGAACGTTTTAATGCAGAGAGCCATTGCAGCTAAGATTTGGTAGATACGATCTATTGCCCACCATCGTCGCTGCTTCGCTGTGATACATAATTCGTTTTCTTCAAGTCGCTCTTAGTTAATTAGGTAGTCGACCAATTAATGCAAGACATATTGAGATACTTTTGTAGTTAGTAACGATCTTATCTCTTTTGTTATCACAAACTGTCAATCGTATAATCTCAATAATTCCATTTTAAGACGTTTACCTTAATTTTTTCCATTCTGAACTCTAATTATACTTCAAACTTAAATCTAATCTATATAATTAAACCAATAAATTATGATTATTTTGATTATTAAAGAGGTGTTTTTTTAAATGAAGTTTTATCGATACTTTAGCAAATATAATTTTGTCTGGATCATTTTATAAATTTCGAAAAATTTCATATTTATCCCAACATGAATCATGAAAAGTTTCTTTGATATTTATCCAATATATTAATATTTACTCTGTATAGTGTAACAATAATTAGATTTTTCGTTATCGATTCATTAACGCATTAAGTAAAGTATATTTAACTGGCGAGTGGCTTTTCATTATCATTCGTTATCAGAAACGGAAGTCAATTTATTTTATAATTATCCAATGGCGTCTGATCCTTTTGTACGATACAGAAATTTGTAGTTACGTTGTGAAAATTGTGAAGCAAGCACGATCAACCAAAGCGGAAGACCATCGCGCATTTCTGTTTCGAGAATTTAATAAAATCCAACGTGCCATTACAGGTCGTATATTCTAATATGCCTAAAACTTCCGTTTCGCTTGATCTTAATAATTATAAGAACCTAACTTTCACGTAAATTTCAACATAAGTAATAGTACTCCCAAATTGAGTATCTGCGATTCTCGATAGAGAATTTTAGGGGAAAGATATTGATATACATTATCGATCTCTTTATTACGATTGTTTAGTTAAGCTATAATATACGAGTAATTTTAGTGGAATAAGGTAATAACTCTATGTAAACCGTTGTATGTAAACCGAGTTACTGTACAATTGAAAGTTCCACAAATATATAACACAAAATCACTGCAAGAGGCTCGTTGCGATTTCCCGCCGAAGGAAATGAACATGTATCTTCCTCTTCCTGCGCTCAAGTATATCTAACGACCCTTTAGTCGCGATTTATGGCACGTCCCGCCGATATCGAGAATCTGCATACGAGAAAACTGGTCGTGTTACACGCTGATATCAGTAGTGTACCAGTTTGATAAATCGGCGAGTACTTAAAGAGTCCGGCGACGCATTTTTCTCGTATTTCCTCGAAACCATTTTCGAAATGATGAAATTCTCCGTGCTCTTCGCTTTCGCTCTTCTTTCCGGCGTTTATTGTTCCGATGATTTGGACGACGCGTCTGCCGGGGTCGAGGTCGGTGAGAGTAAGTTTTTATTGTTCGAAACCCGTTTCTTCTCCCTCGCGTTGTTTGCAAATTCGTACTCGAGATTGAAATTCTCAAGCGAGAAATTTCAATCGCGGAAAGTGTAACGGGTTTTTTTCTTAATAATCGTGTGATAAAGAGAAAGTCTTTTTTTGGTTCCCTAGATGTAAATTATGAAATCTATGCAGACGTTGACGAGGATCTTTCCGTGGAATGTGAGGAGCACGAGGAATACAGCGAGTGTTCCGGGGACCGGACGTGCCAGAAAACTTGCGAGAATCTGGACCAGTGGGAAACGATGACTTGCGCCAGGACGAAGGTCTGCATTCACGGTTGCATCTGCGAGGACGGCTACGTGAGGGATGAAAACAGGGGCGTCTGCGTCGAGGAAAACAGCTGTCCCCGAGTGAAACAATAATTTGAAGCGCGAAGAATCAGAATCCGGATGATTTATAAAAAACGCATCACTTTCTTTTTATTTTTTAAGTTATGCGCAGCATCGAGTTTTATCGATGTGTATAGAGCGTAAAAAATATAGCTTTTCATGTATTATGCGTAATTATAATTAAACATAATTAATTGCGAATACATCTCGTGTCAACGTCTCGAAATAAAAACGATTATAGCAAAAGGAATGCCGCGATATAATTTAAATTGGATAAATTATGCATTCCTCAAACGTGTTTGCGTACATTCGACGTTCGTGCACCTGCGTATATACATGCATTCCGTACGATAAACGCGTCTCGCCGTTTAGCATTCGCTTACTCAGAACTGCAGGACTTGACGTAAAAAGAACAAGTGCAAGCTTTATCGTACCGCGAGCCATTCGAATTCCATTTCAAATTCACTGAAGCCTGAAGCCCCCTTTCATACGATACATTTCTACGAGAGAGAAAGAGAGAGATATCTAATGTCATCGCGTTTGGTCTTTCGCAAATAAATAATTTAAAGAGTCGGCTATGCTTAATATTAGAAAAAGAAAATAATTTGCGAGGAATTTGGAATTTTTCACGATTTTATTTTTCTTTATTTCCGAGACATTTTCTTTTTTTCTTTTTATATCTGTCGAAAGGAAATGTCTCGATCGAGAGAGCGAAATTCCAGCGCGATGCAACGCTTGACAAAATCCCACGTTGCTCCTAACTCGCATGACTTCTCGAGATCCGGTGTCGGTGGCATCGTGTAACCGAGTATCCACGCGCGCACGTATACGCACACATTGACAGATCAGTCCGCGCGCGGTCGTTGCTGTTAGTCCGCCCCGATCGGCGCGGCGTGGTTGATCTTTTCTCCTTCTCCCACCCGTGACTTCCTCTCTCGTGCGAGGCAGGCGAGGCCAGCCTCGGTCGGCCTCGGTCGTCCTTGCCCCTTCTGCTAGGCACCACGTCCGTTACCATCTACTAGCTGGCGCGAAAACATCAACTCGCTCCCAGCGGATTAGAAAGGCTCGCCAAGCCGGGGCCCGAGTCCGAGGTCCGTAGTAGTGATGGCTTCGATCCGATTCTCTCGACTGCGATTACAGATCGGAGATACAAGATGACTATGCTCTATCTATGTTTTATCTATATCGCTGTACTTTCGATGAATAATTTAGAGACAAAGGAGAAGACAATAAGAAAAGGGTTCTTTGAAGAAGGCGAAGTTATATCTGAAGGAAGAAGCAACGGGATCAAGAATTTATAGCGGGCTGTTAACATTTTGAAATATGGACTTCGCTGAGGACCGCATTTAGGATTATTGCAGGGTTCCTGATTTACAGCCTCGTTAAGGACAGATCAAGATTACGTTGCAGTAGAATATAGCTAGAGATAAATATAGCTTGCCGTGACATATTCACTTTTTTCGGGGATTATTAAATATTCGAAGGATGTGTTTAAGGGTACAAAACATTAGCGCACACTTAAGATTATGAATATGTTTATCTCATATAATATATTTACGCTTTTCTCAATAATCGACTTAAATAATCTTTCAATAATCTTTCATGCGTCTACATCTTTCTTGACTTTTATATGTCAATTTTATTGAAAAATTTAAATAAAAGAAATTGTAATAATTTTGTAAATTTATTGTAACTCATTTAATGTTACAATAAATAATAAATACTCAGTGATTGTATATTGATCGCATTTTGCCGGGAAAAAGGAAGCGATCTTAAGTCTCTATGTCTTCACTTTTTGTTGATGTTCCATGTTTCTTCAAAAAGTTGCTAGTTGTTGCCAAAAGTTTCAAGCTACGTCCTCACTGGAGCAACAACGAGCAGCTTTTTATATTCCATGGTTTCTTAAAAAAAATTGCTAGTCGTTGCCAAAAGTTTCGAACTGCGTCCTCATACTGGAGCAACAACGAGCAACTTTTTATTATATCCCATGTTTCTCAAAAAAAGTTGCTTGTTGTTGCCAAAAGTTTCAAGCTGCGTCGTCACTGGAGCAACAACGAGCAACATTTTTAAGAAACATCAACGAAGAATTGCTCCAGTGAGGCCATAGTTTTAAATAGTTAAATGTTGACATATTTCGAGCGACGTAATCTTAACTTATCAAAAGACATAAACTAAGAAGAAAAGGAGTACGACAGTGCGTTATCGCGATTAAATCGAAGAATGAAGAAAAATCACGGTTGATCCCATCACTAGCACGAGGAGGGATCTCTTCCGAACCGTTCGCGCGTAGGAGGGAAAGTTACCGGGAATTTCTTCCTCCCTTCTCCTTCGTCTCCTCTTCTCTCCTGGCATCGCGTTTCCTTCGGACACCTCGACGGAAGCTGCGACCTCGGCGATCGGCGCTTCGGTCACGAAAACGAACGGATGGAACAAAGCAGACGCGTGCTTTTTGTACGCCGTCAAACGCGCGCCGGAAGGATCGGCAGGAAATGTCCGGGGTACCGGATTCTATCCACGTTCGAAACTGCCGGTCTCTCCTAGGTTCCGGCTCGAATCGACGAAACATTCTTTTTTCGGCACATCGCGAATCTCTGGAAAATAAAATCCTCGTAGAGGAAACGAGCACATATAAAACGAAACAGATGTTTATTGATCGTTCCGCGTATTCCGGGATGTATTCTCGCGTTTCCCCTGGAATTGCGATGTAGATTCGAGCTATTCCGTCTTTTAAAAAATGATCTATGCGTCATTGTTTATTATTTTACGCGATTTATTATTTTACCTTCGGTAAAGAGAAATTTACTCGAACTGCGTAGCGCAAAAGATCTCTCTCTCCCTCTCTCTCTCTTGCGTATTTCATCCCGCATGCGGGAAGATCTCGAGAAATACGTCGGAAAAAACGGCGACACGCGGTATTATCCATCGCGAAGAAAGATCGCCGATGAATTATGGTCCAATTAAGATCTCGCGTCCGACATCCACCGTCTCGCTCTCCATCTCCGGCCGATAAACATTAGCTGACTAATGTCTACATTTAATATACTAACGGTGGTATCTTACAACGAAACTTAGCACGCCCTAGTAATGTCATTAGAAATTACTTCCTTGTCGACGCACTGACGAACTAGTTTCCTTCTCATATATATACTGAATACAGTTAAATGATAGGTTCTAGTTAATTATCCCTCTGTACTTTGTATATACTCTGATGTTAACAGTCGATATATTAAAATATACTTGGACATTTCGTGAAATTTACACTGAGTCAACCACAAGTACTTATATTAAAAAATATCCTTTCTTTAAAAAAGGCATGTTAACTGAGTGAATTTAATTTTAATTGAAGTATCGAGGCCTTTTTTCCGCAATGCTGGATTGCTTGTCTCGAAGTTTGTTTCACGACTTGAATCACAACCAAGTCGTTTGATAGTTTTACAGTTTGCGGTTAAACTTAATATTATTTTAATTTGCTAAGTTCCTATTGTGCATATAATTTTGTTTATGTCATCAATTTTCTATTATGTATATAATTTTAATTCGAATTACTATTATATGTGCATAATTTTAATTCGCTGACTTTCTATTATGTACATAATTTTATTGTATACATATTAAATTAATATAATAATTAATACAGTATATTAATGTATTAATATAATTAGTATATTAATATATTAAATTAATATAATAATAAATTAAAATAATTAATCTTAAAAAATGCAGAATACTTGTTTGGTATCAAGTTGCATATCTTTGCACCTCTGCATTAGGCAATGCACGCCGATCAATCGGCACCTAGGAAAATGTGTAAGAAGCGTGTAAATGCGATAGGCATGCTGTGCGATGAATCACCTACGTCGTCGTCACCGGATTCGACGATGGCCATCGCCTCTCGGAATCTTTCCGACCGCGCAACCGGATGTATAAGATGAGACGAAGACGCGAAATGCAAAGAGGGTATAAGAGGGTCTCGCATTCTTTAATCATTATGAATGCGATATTGCGATTAAAGTCTGTCGCGCGACGGTCTAAAAATGAAATATGAGTAACAATATGAGAGCGCGATATATCTGTATCATTCACCGACATAATATACTGCATTCTTGCATTTTTTCTTCATTCATCGTGGCACGATCCGTATAGACATGCGCGACTTATGTCGAAAGCATGGCACAAAGATGTTTGTGAGAGTAACGAATATGCTACATGTGTTGTCCGAAGCTTGGAGCGTCTAAAGAATTCGCTCTATTGACTGTTAATAAAAGATAAAAAGGGATGTTTATTAGGGAGTTCAAATTTGTTTTCTCTAAATTATTTTATATTCTCTTGCAGTGTCGTTTTCTTCTGCATGTGATATTTACAAAATTTTGTATTTTTTTTCTTTAATATAACTGAAAGGACAAAGATAATTGTGAGATTCAATATGTGTTACACTGTAAAAAAATATGTAATTACATAAATAATAAATGTAAAATTACATGGTAAATAATGAAAAGGTAAAAATTTCTATTATTTATCGTGTGATTTTACACTTATTATTTCTGTACTTTTGCATATTTTCGTGTAATATATTACATATTTTTTTATAGTGTACATATGTCCTTTGAAGTTTAGAAAGAGAGGATCCATAGGGAAGTTTCCATATGGAGGATCCATAGTCAAGTTTCTTTATTCTAAATTATTTTATAGTCTCTTGCAGCGTCGTTTTCTTCTGCATGTGACTTAAACAAATTTTGTAATTTTTTTCTTTGTTTTCTTAGGTTCCATTTAACCCAAGAACAAAGATGTTCGTGAGATTGAATGTGTGTATATGTCCATCCCTTATAGGGAGTCAAAATTTCTTTATTCTAAATTATTTTATATTCTCTTGCAGTGTCGTTTTCTTCTTCTTGACTATGGATCCTCCATATGGAAACTTCCCTATGGATCCTCTCTTTCTAAACTTCAAAGGACATATGTACACTATAAAAAAATATGTAATATATTACACGAAAATATGCAAAAGTACATAAATAATAAGTGTAAAATCACACGATAAATAATAGAAATTTTTACCTTTTCATGTGATATTTAAAAAAATGTTGCAATTTTTTTTCTTTAATATAACCACAAATTCGCGACGCATAGCGACGTGCATTATCTGCCGGAACGTGTCCAGAGACACATTCCTGCGTCGAAGAAAAAGAAAAAAGAACGTCATATGATGATTCATCGATTAATCCTTGTCAGTTCTTTACTCGTCCTATTAGTCGCGTTAGCGTCCAAATTGAATGGCTATAAAAGTGTCATAGAGTTTATCCGCGAGAAGGTTATGCCTATCGAGATTACTTGATTTATTTAAATGTCGGAAACTGCAGCAGCTTATTAGAGGACGTATAAAATACGAGCGCATAATTCCGTCCCCTTGACCGCTCTTTCCTCTCTCAAGAGAGAGGGATTCTTCCGCCCCCTCTTGCATCTTGGTACCGGTCCTTCGCTGTAAAACCGATAAATTATGCATTCCATTATTCATGCTCGCTCGCCATAATCATGTACCGGCGGTTGACAAGATCCTGTCATGCTTTACAGGCCTCTCGGCTCCGCGTTTGTTTGCTACTTCGAGGTAAGGAGGACCGTTTACGGCAGTGACTGTGAGCTATTCAATTTACCGGCTTGAATACGGGCCGAGCTTTGAGGATATACAAGTTCGAAGGATTATATATACGCGGAAGAGGAGAGACGCGAAACGCCCGTCTAGTTGAGTCCGCGCGAAACTCAAAAGGCCAAAAATGCCGGAAAGTAATAAATTATTTATAAGCTACACTCTCTTAAGAAGCTATCAGAGGAGTTTCATGCTTGTTTTATTTCACGCGCGTGCATGTGCCCGCATATTCAATGAACTGAAATGCTAGATGTGATAGTAAAATGTTTAGAATGCAAAATATCGCGAGCCGAGCTATTAAAATCGATATCTCGAATATCGTATATCGTCTCTTCTCCCCGTATTTAACTTTCTTTAAATGCGCACGTTCATATATATTTACAAGAATCACTTTTATATTATTTTTATTTTTAATATTATATATAAACGCGAAGAGAAACTATATATGTTATATAAGCGTCGAATATTTTTCTGTAATACGTGTTGACGGAAGAGAGAAAAAGGCGCGGGAATTTGACCGCCGACATCCTGTCGCGAGCAAGTTTTCTCCTGTATTTCTCCCAAAAAGAGAGTTACGTATACACAACCGACTCTCAAGTCCTTGCGAGGTATACACGCGTATGTCTTACGGGAAGAAACTAGGAGAACATTAATACACACCGTCGCGTCGCCGAGAGGCTTAAAATCCTAAGCTCGGGCTGTCGGAGCGATCCGAAGTAGGAAGTAAGGAGCGCGGCGCGCGTTCGAACTCGCCGCGCTCGGCCACGTTCGGCGGCGCTCGGCTATCTTCGCGTCACGGCTGCCTCGCCGCGCTCCCACTCCACGCGCTCGCCTCGTCAGTTGCCGCCATAGTGGGGACGGGGAACGACGTGCGGCGCGGACGTTACGTTACGGTGGAAGGTTCAATTGTCGGTGAATCGTTGCGACGAGCGGTCGGGCGCGCGATAAGACTCGACGAGCTAAAGGATTAAGAGCGCGTGCCTCGGCTGCTGGGGAGCACGACGACGCTTTCGTTTCATCCACCGATATCATCCGTTACGGACGCGAGTGTTCGGCGTGCGCGCGCACGCACGCCGGGTGGCTAACTTCACACGGTTAAAACGTGTGTTCGGCCGGACGATCGACTCGGCCGATCGGGTTTCTTTTATTTAATTTTTTTTTTTAGGGGGGGCGGCACGTCGAGACGATGTGTCTTACGGCCGCGACGTATCACCTCGCGCGATAGCGACGCGATATTTCACGCTCCGCGACGTTGACGTTGAGAGAAGTGCGCGCGCGCGCGACCGCGTTATCACGATCGCGCGTTCAAAAGAGAGAATCGGTTGTGAGTGAAAGAGAAGAGGAGGAAGGAAAGGGAGAAATATAATACAGAGAGAGAGACGCGTGACGTTTTTTTAGTGTGTGCGTCAGATTTCTACGTTCCTTGAGTTTTTTGTGCGACGTTTTTGGCCAACGTTCTCTTGGAGTTTCGAGTTTCTGTGACAAGAAGCAACCTGGCAGCAACGGCCATGACCGCGGACAGCCTGTTCGAGACTACCAGCATCCCGGGGCACCTCGCTCCCACGCCCGAGAGACTGGAGAGACTTCTCTCGAAACAGACCCTCGAGGAACTCTACGAGGTCGAGGAACAGCCTTTCGCACGGTAAGCCACGACTCGAAACATCTCTCTCCTTCTCTTTCTCCCCCTTGATCGCTTCACTCTCCTTTCCCCCCGGATTGTCTTTGTCTTCGGGTAACCTAACGAGACTTAGACCGCTTCCGACCTGCGCGACTCCGATGACCTCTCGAGGTCGGGCTCGATCTCTTTTGTACATGTGTGTGCGCTCGATGTCTATCAATATTTACGCTCGAGTCGATATAGCTATAATGAACGCTGATACAGTGAATTTTTTGCCATTACCAACTTTGATAGAATACATTGTATATGGATTATGTATATGGACAAGCGCGACATCATCGAATTTCGTGTGAGAAACGAGAATTTAATGGTATTCATTAACGAGTATTCAGTTTGTGATTGGGTATTTATGAATATTTAGTCATTAACAACAAAGTTAAAAAAAGATCAATTTTATAATTCTGTTCGCAGCCTTACAATTAGTTAAATTAATTTCTTTGTAAAAAATATATGTTTAAATATAAAATGCTTAATAAATAAATAAAGCGAGAATTAAAGAATGTCAATATTAAGAAATGAATTTTATTTATTAAATTTTGGAAAAAAAACTTTGCAATAATAATTTTGAAGAGAAAATTTGATAAATAGATTTTAGATCTTTTTAGTATTTTGCAATATTTTGCAAAATATATTACAATAAAATAAATTAAGATCATATCTATATGACATGTCGAGATGAAGAAAATTATACTAAGACTGTGTAGAAAGTCGATGATAGATACGCGCAAAGAGAAAGGCCGATAAGAAAAATATATTTTATTTCTTATTCGATTCTTGATGACGTGAAGTTTTCGATGTCGCGAGATTATTGATTGCAAATTTATACACAAAGTGGAGCATGCAGCAAAGATCGTAGAGAAAATGGAGCATACCGGTTTTCAATTACACTTTCATTTCTGGCGTACATTATCTGGGAAAGGACTCGAAAAGCATGGTAGAGAATAAAGATATTTTCTTAAAAAATGCGTTTTATGAAAATCTTATATTACATCAAATATTCGCACATATTAATATTTTTACATTATATTATCTATATAAATATTTGATATAAATATAATTGATATAAATATATGATATACATTTTTTATACAAGTTTTATAAAAATCTTGCTTTAAACGAATTATCCGATTGTGCGCGATGCGATTTAATATATGCTATTGTATGGCAAATCTATCATTGAAGGCGATAGATGCGTGCGAAGTAACGCGAGATGCGGGTAATTAGTATCTCGTGACACGCGCGTGTCTTAATACGATTATTTGCAGGTTTAATAGGGAAGCGCGATCTCAAAAGATTTTGAAATATATTATCACACATATATACATATACGCACGTGCATATACATATATATATATATGTGGCACAAAAATACACACCGATAAAGCGTACTGCGTCTTAAAAATGAAAATTATCTATTTTATTATCTCAATATGATAAAATATAATTAATGAGTTTATTTGCGCGTAACTTAAATCTTTCATAATAAAGAATTAATAAATGGTTAACTTTTAACTGATTAATTACGAAAATATTTTGAGTATAAAATTAAATTTAGAATTTTTTTCTAAATTTTTCTCCAACAAAGATGAAACAAATTTTTATTGTTACCATTTGCCTCATACGGTTACAATTGCATTCAATCGTTATATTAAAATTGCCGCATAATATAACGTGTGTACTTACAAAAAACAGCGCTTGTTATTCGCGTTTCTCTCTCTCCATGTGATTCACCTTTTATTAATTTTCCGCAGTTTATTCGTTCGCGTATCGAGTTCACTTGCGTAACCGCTTGTTAAATCACGCGCATCGACGGAAATGCGCTCGTTATGGAGCCTGTATGAAGTTAGCCCCCCATTTTTCGAATTTTAAAATTTTAAAGGTTGTTCCAGGTTGTTCTAGACTTGTTCTAAATTGTTCCAAAAGATCAAATTTAAAAAATAAAAATTTTCGCGAAAAATGGAAAAAAACGATTTTTTGACCTGGCCCCCCATTTTTCGAAAATCGAACTTTTAAAGGTTGTTCCAGATTGTTCTAGTTGTTCTAAACATTGTTCCAAAGTGATAATTCCCTAAACAAAATATTTCACGAGATATAATAAAAAAATAGTTTCGTGCGCTAAAACAGTATTTTTACGTTTTCGGCTATAGTTATTATCTCTTAAACACCAAACTGTATATTTTAGCTAAAAACGAACAGAACAACCTGGAACAACTCTCAATTTTGCTAGAACATAATTTTAAAGAGTACTTTACTCTTGGAAATAAACATATTTTTGTTGTTTTTTCGTGTTTTTCGACCGATAACGACGTGACAGCGATCCCAAACTATAGAACAATTACGTACTGGCATAGAACAACTTGGAACAACTCTCAGTTTTGCTAGAACATTATTTTAAAGGGTACTTTACTCTTGGAAATAAACACATTTTTTTTGTTTTTTCATCTTTTTTGCCCGCTAAAGTCGCGATAGCGGTCCCAAACTATAGAACAATTACGTACTGGCATAGAACAACTTGGAACAACTCTCAGTTTTGCTGGAACATTATTTTAAAGAGTACTTTACTCTTGGAAATAAACACATTTTTTTTGTTTTTTCATCTTTTTTGCTCGCTAAAGTCGCGATAGCGGTCCCAAACTATAGAACAATTACGTACTGGCATAGAACAACTTGGAACAACTCTCAATTTTGCTAGAACATAATTTTAAAGAGTACTTTACTCTTGGAAATAAACACATTTTTCTTGTTTTTTTGTGTTTTTCGACCGATAACGTCGCGACAGCGGTCCCAAACTATAGAACAATTACGTACTGGCATAGAACAACTTGGAACAACTCTCAGTTTTGCTAGAACATTATTTTAAAGAGTACTTTACTCTTGGAAATAAACACATTTTTTTTGTTTTTTCATCTTTTTTGCCCGCTAAAGTCGCGATAGCGGTCCCAAACTATAGAACAATTACGTACTGGCATAGAACAACTTGGAACAACTCTCAGTTTTGCTAGAACATTATTTTAAAGAGTACTTTACTCTTGGAAATAAACACATTTTTTTTGTTTTTTCATCTTTTTTGCTCGCTAAAGTCGCGATAGCGGTCCCAAACTATAGAACAATTACGTACTGGCATAGAACAACTTGGAACAACTCTCAGTTTTGCTAGAACATTATTTTAAAGAGTACTTTACTCTTGGAAATAAAACATTTTTTTGTAAAATTGAGAGTTGTTCCAAGTGTTCTATGCAAGTACGTACTGGCTATAACAACGATCTCTGTCGCGACTTTAGCGGCTTTACTCTTGGAAAAAAACAAAAAAAATTTGTTCATTTCCAAGAGTACAGTACCAAACTTTAAACAATGTTTTAGAAAACTTGAGACTTGTTTCAATTTTGTTCTCTTGCCAGTACGTTTTGTTTTATCTTTTTTGACCGCTAAAGTCGCGATAGCGGTCCCAAACTATAGAAAAACACATAGAACAACTTGGAAAAAATGCTGTTTATTTTAAAGAGTAAAGTACTCTTTAAAATTGTTCTAGCAAAATTGAGAGTTGTTCCAAGTTGTTCTATGCCAGTACGTAATTGTTCTATAGTTTGGGACCGCTATCGCGACTTTAGCGGGCAAAAAAGATGAAAAAAACAAAAAAATGTGTTTATTTCCAAGAGTAAAGTACCCTTTAAAATAATGTTCTAGCAAAACTGAGAGTTGTTCCAAGTTGTTCTATGCCAGTACGTAATTGTTCTATAGTTTGGGACCGCTGTCGCGACGTTATCGGTCGAAAAACACAAAAAACAAGAAAAATGTGTTTATTTCCAAGAGTAAAGTACTCTTTAAAATTATGTTCTAGCAAAATTGAGAGTTGTTCCAAGTTGTTCTATGCCAGTACGTAATTGTTCTATAGTTTGGGACCGCTATCGCGACTTTAGCGGCAAAAAAGATGAAAAAACAAAAAAAATGTGTTTATTTCCAAGAGTAAAGTACCCTTTAAAATAATGTTCTAGCAAAACTGAGAGTTGTTCCAAGTTGTTCTATGCCAGTACGTAATTGTTCTATAGTTTGGGACCGCTGTCGCGACGTTAGCGGCAAAAACAGAAAAAAACAAAAAAAATGTGTTTATTTCCAAGAGTAAAGTACTCTTTAAAATAATGTTCTAGCAAAACTGAGAGTTGTTCCAAGTTGTTCTATGCCAGTACGTAATTGTTCTATAGTTTGGGACCGCTATCGCGACTTTAGCGAGCAAAAAAGATGAAAAAACAAAAAAAATGTGTTTATTTCCAAGAGTAAAGTACCCTTTAAAATAATGTTCTAGCAAAACTGAGAGTTGTTCCAAGTTGTTCTATGCCAGTACGTAATTGTTCTATAGTTTGGGACCGCTGTCGCGACGTTATCGGTCGAAAAACACAAAAAAACAAGAAAAATGTGTTTATTTCCAAGAGTAAAGTACTCTTTAAAATTATGTTCTAGCAAAATTGAGAGTTGTTCCAAGTTGTTCTATGCCAGTACGTAATTGTTCTATAGTTTGGGACCGCTATCGCGACTTTAGCGGGCAAAAAAGATGAAAAAACAAAAAAAATGTGTTTATTTCCAAGAGTAAAGTACCCTTTAAAATAATGTTCTAGCAAAACTGAGAGTTGTTCCAAGTTGTTCTATGCCAGTACGTAATTGTTCTATAGTTTGGGACCGCTGTCGCGACGTTATCGGTCGAAAAACACAAAAAACAAGAAAAATGTGTTTATTTCCAAGAGTAAAGTACTCTTTAAAATTATGTTCTAGCAAAATTGAGAGTTGTTCCAAGTTGTTCTATGCCAGTACGTAATTGTTCTATAGTTTGGGACCGCTATCGCGACTTTAGCGGGCAAAAAAGATGAAAAAACAAAAAAATGTGTTTATTTCCAAGAGTAAAGTACCCTTTAAAATAATGTTCTAGCAAAACTGAGAGTTGTTCCAAGTTGTTCTATGCCAGTACGTAATTG